AATTTATTTGTTTTTCATAATATTTCTAAATGCTTATGGGACTTTCAGGATTGCATAGGTTTAGGACATAAGATCAAAAGATCCAACATACTGCAGAACAGCATTCAAATCCTAAAGAAGGAATCCTTCTAAGATTACAGCAGCTTTTTCTCCTTAAAATAAGACAAGCAAACACCCTGTTGTTACTTGCCTGTTCCAGTGTCTAATTCTGAATCCCTAAATGAGTTAAATAGGTTTGATCTAGACATCTCTGTTGCTTTTGTGTATTAAAAAATAAAATAAAATTGGGAGGCATCTTCTGTTTACCTTAAGTCTGTCTTACGTGCCGTAGAAAGGCAACTAAATCTACGAAGATAGCTAGGTTTAGCTATCTGAACTCTCTCTCATGATCTGCAGTGTTGAATAGGAGGAGACCTGGAGAAGTCACAGAATCACAGAATGGTAGGGGTTGGAAGGGACCTCTGTGGGTCATCTAGTCCAACCCTCCTGCCGAAGCAGAGTCACCTACAGCAGGCTGCACAGGACCTTGTCCAGGAGGGTCTTGAATATCTCCAGAGAAGGAGACTCCACACCCTCCCTGGGCAGCCTGTTCCAGTGCTCCATCATCCTCAGAGGGAAGAAGTTCTTCCTCATGTTCAGACAGAACTTCCTGTGCTTCAGTTTGTGCCCATTGCCCCTTGTCCTGTTGCTGGGCACCACTGAAAAGAGTTTGGCCCCATCCTCCTGACACCCACCCTTGAGATATTTATAAGCATTTATAAGGTCCCCTCTCAGCCTTCTCTTCTTCAGGCTGAACAAGCCCAGCTCCCTCAGCCTTTCCTCATAGGAGAGATGCTCCAGTTCCCTCACCATTGGTGATTGCCAGCAGTAATGATCAGTAGCCTGGCAAATGATTTGATTAATTTTTGAGATCTGAATGCTTCCTCTAGAAGTAGGAAAACTGACTCTATGCTTTAAACTAGACCTCATAAATAATTTTACTAACCATAGGGTTTTGGGGGGGTGGGGTGGGGGTGTGTGTGTTTGTTTGTGATCTTGTCCACCTTTCTGAATGACTGGTCTTTCTGGCTGGCTGACTTTATTTTCAGGTAACAGTGGTGTTACGGGATGGATGAGTCTGTCACCCAGTTCTGATAATCCTCCTTCCTTTCCCCAACTATGTACTGTCACCTCGCATGTTCTGTAAATGCTCAAGTAACATCACTTCTGTAAAAGTAAGGAGTACATAGACTTACTTGCTTGAGTACCTGTAATATAAATCTCTTTATACTCTGTGACTCCTCCATGATAGCACACGCACATTACTTGCACATAAGTATGCTATCGATGTAATGAGGCTGTGTAGACTGTCACTCAGTTTTGTAGAGCAACTCGATGTAAAGGATATATGGGGGAAGAGGGAAGAAAGAACAATTCAAACTTTTGTGTAAAACCTGTGCTATTACAAAATTCCTGTTGACTACAGTGGCTCAAAGGTGGGATCTTTGTATTCCTTTCCTGAACAGACACCTACAGAACCTGACTTGTCCTGATAGAAATTTTACTGCTGGCTTTAGTGGAAGCAGGGCCTGGGGCAAAACCCAATCACTTAATAAAGAACATTTGGGGCAGGGGAGGAAGGAAATCTGTTACCAGCACAAACTTAAACTCAGGCCTTGACCTTTCCTGTAACCTGTAAGAAAAATGCTATAAGCTTCGGTGTTGGCGAGTGATTTTTCTTGTGCCAGTTATTAACCAGTTCTAAGGTTTGACATCATGGTATTAATGGAGTGCCTGTGGATGACTTGTAGACTTTATCTTAAGTAAACTCACTGTCCTGTATTGTAGGATGAGTAAGCTGCGTAAATCTAGGTTAGTGTAAGATACTAAAAAATGTTGTTGCATGTCGCTTGAGGAGGTTGGACACTGCTCCTCAAGCCATAGGTGCTGGCCTGTAGTGCGTAGGCTGGGCCGGAGTTGAAAGTGGCATCTGGAGAATGGGTGAAGTAACCATGGTACCTTCTGTTACCACCATAGCAAGAAGCTCTGAAACTCTTCACAAGCAATGGCTAGGAGCGATGTGCATCTCTTCTCTGTCAAGAGAGGGAAGAGATCCTTACCGCTGGCTGGGCAAGAGGGCAAATCCTCTGCAGAGGATCCCAGACCTAGTGCTTTTTTTACCTAAAGCTAGTGCAGAGTATGTCTTCTCTTCTGCCTCAGTGAATGTTGGGCTTACACCTTAATTTGCATTAGGCTTTGAATGTGAGTGGATGTTTCCCAGCCTCAGGATGTGGAACGAGCTGCGAGGAGTACTTCATCTGAGCTCAAAAAGAATCGTAGAATCATAGGTGGGAAAAGATCTCTAAGATGATCAAGACCAACCATTCACCCAACACCACCATTCCTACAAAACCATATCCTGAAGTGCCATGTCTACACATTCTTTAAACA